AATGAAGAAATTATAGTAGTTTTCATGAGCTCGGCTGCTTTAAGTCATCGAATTAGTATAGTTAAGTCATCAAATTTTAATATAGTTCAAGCCGCTGTCGCATCGCGAAGTTTCATGTGACTGGCTTAAGAATGAGTGCGAACCGAGAGTTATTTCCGGCAACATAAGTATATCGAATCGGACAGGTGTTTGTAACACGGCGAATTTCAACGAGAAATATCCATCATGAGAAATCCAATCCCTCCATTTCGTTTGACATCCAATGATGAATTGGATAATCTGCAAGCAGGCGATTCAACCATGTGAGTATTTTTTAGGTTTTTTGGTTAAATAATAATTTTATTCTCTTGCGTCCAAGACTTCATGATTATTGAATATATTAGAATGAAAATTTCAACAATTAAAATCATTCAACATTTAAAATCATTTTATTTTTTTTTTGAGTGAAATTCTATATCAAATCTGTGGTCCGGATGGAAATATATAAATTTAGTTATTGATGTAATGATTGCGAGGTTAGCTTCCTAATTGTGTGAGTTCCGTTTTTTTGTGAAAAGTTTGCAGTCAATGGATCAAACCCGACAAAATTAACAAAGAACAGATAGCGAAATACAGTGAATCATATCTGAATGCATCTGATGTCCTTTTATAGAATTTTATCTAAATAATATTTGTGGCCACGTGGTGATATGTAGGTTAATCATTCTTGAACATCAGCGTTTTAAGAACAATAGCCATTCATCATATTTTTTTTATGTTCAACTTCGATTAAAAATGTGATGTAGAAAAATAATAATTTTCGCAGTAAGACGATTGTGATTTTTCTCGATTTTCATTTTCAGTGACATCACAGGGGTTGTAACTCGACTAGATTCTATCAGGAGGAGAGCCAGTGCAGCTCCTGCACGAGTACGACTATTTCGTTGCATTTTATCGAACGAGATGGGAAGACATCTGAGAATTTTATTCTGGGAGGCCAAAGCCGACGAGTTTGAAGGTCAAGTCTATAGACAATCAACATTAAAAGAGGTCGAGTGATTCCAGCCAATCCAAGCTACGTCGACCCAAATGACAATCTGATGCTAATTGAGATAGCTATCCAGAAAACCACGGTAGTGACAATACTTGGGCCTTTTGATCCACCACCAGTGGTTATTGAGCCCCAGTACCAAGCTGTACAACTCGCGGATGTTGAGAGAGTCCAGGGCCACGTCAGATTGGACGTTTACATAAAAGTGAAAATCGAGCAACAAAGGGCAGGGAATGGAGTATATGGTAGTGGAGCCATAACTGACGGTTACTATCGTATCCCTGTTAATGTTTCTGCATTTGACGTCAATTTTTCTCCTGAAGTGGGTACCCATGTTCTTATACAGGGTGAGCTACGCCGTAATCAGTATGGCAAACCTCTGATCCAAATCCAGGATATGGCTGGGATTCAAGTAGTTGGAGATCGAATAATGCCACCAGAAGAACTGCAAAATGGGTTCAGGGTCCCTCCTGTGGAAGCTTCAGTTATCAATAATGCACCCATGGCTGTTCCGGCTGCTGCTAACCGTGCAAAAGTCGGACAACATGCTGATGCAGCGCCTGTTCCCATTGCAGAGGCACCTGTACTTGAGAAGGTTGCAGGTCCTATTGTGCCTGAGCCTGAGGATGTCATTAATTCTCCTCCAATTGAGATATCATCTGATGATGAACGTGACCATCAAGAGCAAGTAGAAGCATCTACACCTCGCACCCCCAATCGATATGGTGCAAAAACATCCGAGGTCATACCTCCCAGTAATGAGGGATTAATCAATCTCTATGGTGCTGACGAGAATTCGCCACCGACCGGTATAAGTCAGGAGTCTCCTCGAGCTTCAAAAATGAGCATTTCTGCTAGGAAAAAGATATTTTTATTGAAAGACGATGATGAAGTGCTGTCGAAAAGAGCTCGACAAAATCTTGGAGACATCGTTCAGATGGCAGCCGGACGAAAACTGGATGCTATCGTCGCTGATAGTAAATTTGAGGAGTTTTCTGATTGATCGATTATCGATTAAAACAAAAATAATGCAAGGGCATTTTCATTTTTTTAATATAAGATTTTTTTATTACGTTTAGTCAAACGGTACCAAATGTTGAACTTATTTTTGAAAAATATCTCATAATTTTTTTTGTTTGAAAGTAGCCTACTTTTTTATATTTTTTTTCTAATGATTATTTTCGTAATTTCTTTCTTTTGCTGTGACAGTGGAAATAAAGCAGCTTTCTTCATAATTTATTGATTGCACTCTAATTTAAGTGATTTTTTTCATTTCTGGAAATATCAGAGATTGCAATATTGTCTCGATTTTTATTTCTAAAAAAATGGTTGAATGTCATTTCAGAGTCTATGATTGCTTTAAAAATTGTGATTTTAATCACTGAACAATATTCTAATCATTAAAATAACGTCAACAATAAGACGAGAATGTCAGATTTCGGTGAAATTCGAGTATTCTCTTCCATGTGATCGTTCATTTTAATAATGAATATTAATAATAAGGCGTCACTGCTTGACAAAGTATTAATACTTAGTAATAAAAAACATAAACTGTATCATGAAAATCACTTAATTCTGCTATTCTTAAGAGCTGTCATATATATTTTTACTATTTGGATATTCCTAAATGAACATTGAGTGTTCAAGTCTAGCTAGATAACAGAAATTTGGATAAGACTGTTCAGAAAACATAAATGATAAAAGCATTGATGAAAAAATTTCAACGTTGATCGATATAGATATATTAGTGACTAACGCTGTTAAACATCTGATTTCATGAATTTTTATGAGATTTAGATATTCGTAGATGAACATTAAGTGTTCCAATATAATTGATAAAGCTTTGATGAGATTATTCGAAACATAAAAGTATTGATAAAACTATTTAAACGTTAATCAATATAGAGATTTTAGTGACTAATGCAGTTGAAAATCTTACTTCATTAATTTCTTATATGAGAATCTACAACAATTGGGTTTAGAAGTTTATGAACGATGTAAGAATAAAAGAAAAATATTCAATATTCTGTGTTTTTTTAATTATAAAATGGCAACCCTATGTTAAAGACTATTTGAAAATTCAATATTGGATAGAATGAAAATGTTCTAATTTAAATTTTAAAAATTCGGTTGTGGAGCAAACTTTACTGAAATAAAAGTGGACACTTGGGCGATTTTTCAGAAAATGTCTTTATCTTACTTTACTTCATTCCAAACTTCTCTATGACATAATCTACACTTTGTAGATCCCTGCAGATCCTTTGTAGAAAATGCACATCTGATCATTGACGCCAAAACGTGAAATTGAAATTTGAAATTGAAATGTGAAATTGAAATATTATTCGCGTCAATTCATCATTTCAAATTGGTGTCCACTTTGCCCCACCCTCCCCTATAGCACTCAGTGAAGCCAGATGAGGGTGGGATTTTCATGCGCAGCTTTCTGGCGCAGCTTTCTGGGGCACTTTCTAGGCCCTCACTTAGTGTTTGTTTCTCATTGTGGCCATCGTCATTAATTCATCAATGCTTGGATATTTTGGTTGTTTCAAAGTGAGCTTTTCAACAATCTAATCCACGGCAATATTCATACTCATTTGAACAACGAAAGTTCTCCCCGTGCCTGCGTTATTGATTGGATGAGAGAGGTGAGATAATTAGTCGAGTAGAATACGTTCAACTGGAAAATGATGCAATAATAATGCTATCCGAATGATTTTCTCATTATTATTGACTACTTTTAATATTACCACCATAATATTACCATTAGATTTTATTAATTAATTTTTGTAGGCCAGTTGGAAGTAGTGGATGAATACGTCATAATATATATAACCTCTAATTGTATTGTGATTCTTGCCCTTCGATGTGCCATTGCGTCAGTGTGTCATTCTACTATGGATATCAAATTCGAATCCATAATGAAACGATCATACCAAATCTTTTTTTAGGGGTTGGGGCTTCCCAGTTTGATTGGTCGTTACGCGACATCCCAACCAACATTTTGATTTGAAAAAAACTAAATTTGAAAAAAACGAAGCAAAGAGGTAAGTGAAATTGACGATTATGATCCATCACATCATTCACATCAGTAATGATTTTTGTTGCATTGTTCCAATGATTAATCCATTAATTATTATTTCAGGTGATCGACATTTCCGTGACTGCTGAAAAACGACCTGGATTTGTGTTTTTTAACGAAATGGTGTAGAAATTTGGAATAAAAAAATTGTTTCATTATAGTAATAAAAATATTATATACATTCCTAACTCTTATAATTCAATCGACTCTTAGATATTTAGATTTAAAAAGACTAATCAGATCAAACAGATTTCTCAGACAAAACTAGCAATTCAGAAAAAGTTTTAGGAAAAAAATAAGACCATAAAGACACGATACAAAACCGAAGATAAAGTCGAGAGTAATTGCAGCAAGGAATTCGAAATTATAAATTATAGTAACAACAAATTATATACATTCCTAATCCTTATAATTCGAGCGACTCTTAGATATCCGGATTGAAAAAGACTAATCACATCAAACAGATTTCTCAGACAAAACTAACAATTCAAAAAAAAGCTTTAGGAAAAAAATAAAACCATAAAGACACCATAGAAGACCAAAGATAAAGTCGAGAATAATTGCAGCAAGGAATTCGATTGCATAATTAGAAATATTATGTCGCAAAGACATCCCAAAATCAGTGACGAGCAGAGAGTTCAGAAGAAGAACGAAAAAGAGGCAATGAAGATGCATAATATTTCTCAGAATATAAAGAAGCGAAAAGTCGAGACATCCGATGATGGTATTGAATATACATTTGTAAATAAGGTAATACCCGATTGCACAAGAGCAAAATTGCCATTAGTTCCACGATATCAAAGTTCTGCATTACTAAGAAACATTCTGCATGACCATGGTTACGTGAAATCAGACTGTAAAGACAAAAAACGGTCACATACTATTGTTAAATCTCTGTGTCAATCTCCAAAATTGAATGTATTATCATTACATCCTAAAAAAGTCTCCAATTCTGCAATGAGTACTGCCTCTGAAAAAGTATTATCGCAGTATTCAAGAAATGTTCGAATTCCAAATCGCATTACCGGTAAAAAACAACAAAATTTCATTCTGCATAGCACATCATCACCTCAACCACGACAGCTTCCTCAATTAGTTCATGATGTGAGCGGTACAATCACAGTATCCCAAATGAATGATATTTTAAACCTAAACCTATCATCTCAAATTGTTTCAGGTCCACTTCACAGTATTGAAAACAATATCCTTCCCGAAATGCATTCTCTTGCACATATTTCTCAATCCTGTAGTAGTAGTTTTGCCGTAAATGGTATTCCAGCAGAAAATTCTACAGCACACAATCAGACACAAGACAGGAGATCTGAGTCTAATCCAAGGATTATTCACGATATAACTGGAACGGTCGCAATATCTCACCAAACGAATGATGTTGCTGAACATTATCTTGGTTCTATGAACGTGTTATGTATACATTGTAAAGCCCGTCATTTTGCACCAGAAAGAGTATTTAACAAGGGATATTCGTTCTCTGATTGTTGTAGTCATGGGAAAGTCATGCTGAATCCTTTACCGGATCCTCCGCCGGTCATAAAAGAATTATTTAATGGCACACATCCATTGTCAAATCACTTTTATGAGCGCATTCGTTATTATAACAGTATATTCTCATTCGCGTCATTTAATGCCAATTTAGTCAATCCCAATACCCATCGTGGTCCTTATTGTTTCAAAATTCAAGGACAAATTTACTATCAGATTAATAGAGCTTTATATCCAGCTGATGGTGAAATACCAAGTTATGGACAGTTGTTCATTGTCGACCCTGATGAAGCGATCAATTATAGATTGAATTCTAATCCTAATTTGAATGCAGAAGTCGTTGAAGCAATTGACAATGCTATGCGAGCGCATAATCGTTTCGTTCTTTGTTATCAAATGATGAAAGATGAAATAAACCTCATGAAGGCACAAAATAATGGTGACGAACCAGAATTCGAATTGACATTTGCACTCGACAAGCAGCTCGATCGAAATCGTTACAATGTCCAGAGATCTAATGAAATTGCTGTGGTATTTTCCACCACGGCCGATGGTGAAATACCAAAATCATATGTTACCCAACGAAATGTACATACAAAACAATTATCGTTTGTAAGTTCTATGGACGCCAACGTGGAACCTTGGATTTATCCACTATTTTATCCACATGGAGATAGAGGCTGGGAGGATGATATTAAGATGGTGAACAGCAACCGGAGAGTCACTAGAAATGCGTATTTCAAACATCGAATGGCTATTCGAGAAGATCCTAATTATTTTTTGATGGGACGTCGTTTATTTCAACAGTGGGTTGTAGATAGTTTTGTGAAAATAGAACAAGATCGAATGAATTATTACCGATTCAACCAAAAAACATTGAGAGTGGACAGTTATGACGGTTTACGAGAACATTTAGAGAAGAGAGCAGCCAACGAGAATAATCGTATAGGAGAAATGATTGTTCTTCCTTCGACACACTCAGGCTCACCACGTAATATGGCACAAACTTATCAAGATGCAATGACAATTGTGCGGAAATTCGGTAAACCTGATTTATTTATCACAATGACATGCAATCCCAAATGGAGGGAAATTGTCGAGAATCTTCAGAATGGACAGACCGCTTCAGATAGACCTGATTTAGTGGCTCGCGTTTTTGAGCTAAAGAAAGATGAACTAATTGGTATCATCAAAAATAACTTATTTGGGGAAGTGCAAGCATATATTTATGTTATTGAGTATCAGAAACGTGGCTTACCCCATGTTCATCTGTTATTAACATTGAAACCAAATTCGAAAATTACTACCCCAGAAATTGTAGATAAATATATTTCTGCTGAACTTCCTGATCCAAGTGAAAACTTGAGAATACACGAGATTGTTAAAAATAATATGATTCATGGTCCATGTGGGGAACGATGTTTAGATAGCACGGGGAAATGTTCGAAGAAATTTCCAAAATCATTCAATAATCAAACGACTATGGATGAAGATGGTTATCCGCAATATAAACGACAAAACACAGGTCTTTCGTACACACGACGTGATGGATTTGTTTTCGATAATCGACACGTTGTACCTCATAATCAATGGCTCTTATCAAGATTAAACTGCCACATTAATGTAGAAGTAGTTTCAAGCATTAAAGCCGTCAAGTACCTCTACAAATATGTGTATAAGGGCCACGATGCTGCTGCAATAGTAGTGGAAGACTCTGAATCGAACCCCAGTGGAGCCCAAGGAGAAATTGTTCATGATGAAATTCGTAACTATATTGATGCTCGGTATGTTTGCCCTCCTGAAGCGTGTGCACGCATATTGAACTTTTCTTTGCAGGGGAAAAGTCATGCTATTAAATGTTTGCCAGTACATCTACCTGGCCAACAGACTGTCATGGTTGATGAAATCGGTGATGAAGACGCTATCCGATCTGCATTGGAGAGAAAAACTATGTTGCAGGAATATTTCAATTTGAATGAACGAGATCCAGCGGCGAGAAAATTTACTTATTCGGAAATAGCAACTCATTACGTGTTTAAAAAAGTAGGCGGGAGTTTCACTTGGGTACCGCGCCAACGCTATTTTAATACAATTGGAAGGATGTATTCTATTAATCCGACGCAAATCGAATTATTCCATCTCAGATTATTACTCATATCTGTAGAAGGAAGTACAAGCTTTGAAAATCTGAGGACCGTTGATGGTACCACTTACGATACTTTCGTTGATGCATGTTTAGCACGCGGTTTAATAGAATCTGATGATGAATGGAAAAATGCAATGCATGAAGCAGAAGTGTGGATGATGCCAAGACAATTACGACAGCTATTTGTACGAATATTACTTTATGGTAACCCCATTCATCCCGAAAAACTATGGGAAGAATTTAAAGACGCCATGTCCGAGGACTTTTCACGAACCATATCTCTGCTACAGGCTCACAACAAAGCTTACATTCATATAAATACACTACTCATTCGAGAGAAATCAAGTATAACAAATTTCCCAACAATGCCACAGATTACAGAAGTTGATGACACACAGGATGATATGTTACCTGAAGAACATCAAGCTATTGGCAGTGGACAGTACGAAAAACTAAATGATCAACAGAAAACTATCGTTGACACCATTTTTTCAGTAGCAACAAATGAAGATAACAATGGAGGATCTCAATGTTTTTTTATTGATGGACCAGGTGGGTCTGGAAAAACATTTATCTATACAACTTTGTATCATCTCCTGCGAAAAGAGGGTAAAAACATTTGTACTATGGCGTTCACAGGAATACCAGCAACACTTCTCCCATATGGGAAAACGGTGCATAGAACTTTCAAATTACCACTTGCTATATATAGTGATTCATCCTTAACAATTAAAGCGCAATCGAACGAAACAGATTATTTGAAGAGTGTTAATTTATTCATTTGGGACGAAGCACCAATGGCACCCAGACATGCTCTAGAAATGGTCGATCGGAATCTACGAGATATAATGAACAACGACAAACCATTCGGCGGTAAATTGATGTTATTAGGAGGTGATTTCCGACAACTATTACCTGTCAAGAAATTCGCTACGCGCAGTGAGTTGATAAACCTATCAATCAAGTTCAGCCATTTATGGCCGATCTTCACAAAATTCTCCCTTACTCAGAATATGCGTGCACTGGCAGAAGAAACTGAATTTGCAAAATTTTTATTATCCGTTGGGGATGGCATCATCAACACGAATGAATCAGATTTGAGTTTACCATTGCATTGTATAGCACACTCAGATTCTGATATTGTCGAAGATTTCTGTGGAGGTGTTATAGCGCAGAAACAATTCCAGAAATTGATGAAATGGGCGATATTATCGGCACGAAATGTTGATGTTGATGAGATTAATCAACGAGTAGTGGAATTACTCGATAAGGAGACAGAAATCATTTTTACCAGTATAAACAGTGTCAAAGATTGTGATAACGGCGAAATTGTTGAAACGATTCTCCCTGAATATTTGGAAACTTTAAATCCTTCCTGTTTAGCCCCTCATGAGTTGCGTTTGAGAGTTAATGCCGTTGTTATGCTCATTAGAAATCTTTCCATTCACGAAGGTTTGTGTAACGGGACCCGATTGCGAATTTTAGAGTGGTCGAATCATATACTTAAATGTGA